TTAACGCGCGGTGCGCTTTTTCCCTCCCTATCCTCCCTCCTTTCCCGTCTCCGCCTTCTCGTTTCTCCAGTTTTTTTTCCTTTCTTTTTTCACTTGCCTCTTTATCCGGCTGCTTTTAGCAGAAGCCTTTCTGTGTCCACCAAGTAATCGCGTGATCTAAGTGTGGTGGTAGCCGTGCTTTCAACAGATATCTTGCTGCATCGTGCAGTCTGCTGCATCGCGAAGGATCTCGAAAAGTTTGAAATAGATAAAGCATTCCATATATATACATATATATATTTCATCTGTATACAGATAGTTCTATCTAGATTATGCATGTATGTATGTTACAGTGATGTAAATACTCAGAAGGTAGTTAAGTAACTATTATTATCCCTATTATTTCCGAAATTATAACAGTTAACGGGAAATTTATCAAACAAAAGTTACATTGTGTAGGTATGAAGAGAACTATTGTGTAATATTGAAAGTTTTTAATGAAATTGTTTGAGAATTATAAAGGTCATTTTAAATTTTTTGAATAAAATTTTTTCATACATATGCCATGTTACCCTAGTTATTCTTTGCATGTAAATACATTAAAGCGCATTAAACAATTAATAAGAAATATTTCATAATTTGTTTTATCATATGATATGATATCTCACGAAATGTATTTCCTTTTCAATGATTTTATATTTTTATACGCAAAATAATGAGGTAAATTGAAGAATTTAATTGCATTTAAAAAAATATACAAAACTGCTGCACGTTTATAATGCTGGGGAGAAAATCAATCGATTCTATTCATTATCCCGTGCAATATTTATTGAATATTTTAATGGAAATGAAAAAATTAGTACTTTATAAGATTTCATATTGCAACATGTCAAACTAAATTATCTTGCGTAAATTATTTAATTATTATAATGTTACTTTAATAGTGCACAAGGTTTAGATTTTTAAAATAATAAAGATAATCTTTATAACTCTTAAACAGTTTCAAAAATCTTATTATCATTATAATATCTCTTTGTCGTAATCTCGTAATATCATTTTGTACAAAAAATGTGTTAATTAAATTTTCTTCTAACTGGTACAATCTGGAGTAATTATAGTAATTATAATAATAATAGTATACATAGTATACATGTATGTAATATATATGTATCCACATGTATGTGCAAAAATTTTGAAAATTGCATGTACAGAATATTTCATATTCACCGCAGTTAAACGTGAAATATAAATTCTTTGATTATTTAAGAATCCAGTTTCTTTTTTTGTAAAGAAAATTTGATCCGCTGTCATATTTTCTCACAACTGGCTCAACTTTTACGATATATATTTTAGCAGCTAAACTTTAAATTAAAATTCTGTTAAAGTTAAGTTTACTTCAATGTATCGATTAATTTTTAATTATCTATAAACATCGGCTTTTTAATATTGAACAAAAACAATTATCTTTTTTCACAAGTTTGATTTATACCTATAATAGTATTAACAATTGATAACGCAAGGATTGCATACGCGATCCCTTATGGTACACTCTGTGTACATTATAGGATATGTATATATGTGTAACAACAGAGAAGCAACGGAAGGAACTGGAGTTTCCATCGCTTTTGCGGAAACTTCCAAGTTCCGATCCTGCCAGCAGCTTGTGGCATATCGGCCCGAATTCAGAAAAGTCAACTTGCGGCTGGAATTGAGTGCTAAGTGATTTCTGCTGTTTTCGGGATGGCAATAATATCATCCATTTCTTAGTGTGCTCTTCTGATCTTATATTTTTGTCTGTGTGTCATACTGTCTCTCGTAATAATACAGACGGTTGAAGAGTCGTGGGAAGAAACATCTCTTCGCGCTTCTCCGTGTCATATGGATCACCTGTCAGAATTCTCACAGATATAGCTATAATGCTTGGGGGAGTGTGCAATGGTGTTTCGTCTCACGAGAAAAAGATCGCATTATATCGATAAATAATGGCAATCTAAAAATGGCTTAATGCATCTGGCTTATAAATACAATTTTCTGACTTAAAGATAATTTCTGTAAAAATGATTTTTATTTTTAGTTTAGAAAAAGAATAAAAAAGAATTTCGCGAAGAATGACGCTTAAAAAAGATTGCAATTACATGTATTAATCGTCGGCATTATATTTAGCGATAAAATCTTCGTTGTTGAATAAATCTTCCTCACTTTTTCTTTTCGCGCAGTCATGTTCATCCTTGTGTGTAAATAAGCTTTCTTAATATTTGACGATCTATTTTATCAATTTTATATGGCATAACCGCGATCGATTTTGCCGTAACCCATGCTCGAACAATTCATGCTGATTATTCGCCGACGTGGAACACTTTCAGGCCACTCGCATCGATAATCGTATGCGCGTTTTTCCACGTTCACAGAAAAGAACCTATCGTCTCTTCTCCCGAGAACTATCGCGGAATTCGCTAGCTTCAGTTATAAATAGAGTACAGTTTGAGAACGCTTGAGTCAGAGCCGGTGAACGTGACTGAACAATGATGTCTCCGAGTGTTTTAAAGCGGCCTGGCGCCCCACTTTAACAGCCAAGGAGCCGTGGTCGTTTTTAACATTGTATATACATGTACATACGTACGTACATATGTGACCTCGTGCGAGAGGAGAATTAATTCTGTCCGACTTAAAATGTTTGCCAGATATCTCGAACTTCGAGAGTTCCGTCTCTGACGAATTCGTCGTGTCGGCATTTTTATGGAGAACATTGTCATCGATCATTTCGACGACTTAGGCTTCTCTGACGACCTCCGCTCCACTTTTCTTCTGTATCATATAATTAATCGCTACTACATTATTATGGAATTAATAATTTACAGTTTCAGTATAATTTTTTCTTTCTGATGAAATTATAATTGTTTCAAACAACGTGTGCCAACAACTAGAAACAAAGATAATCGACTTTGTTCATAGATTAATTCGATAGATTAAAGAAGTGGACGATCGGACACAAGAGAATGAAATGAAAAACATCGGTAGCTGTTAGAAAATTGCAAATGTCACAACGTGTCTTACTCGATAGGTCACTTGGGTGTCCTTGCGATTGTAGAAATCTTTATACGACGATACGCAGAAAGTTGAAAACGGTTGGACGAGAAATGTGCGGCGGGAGAACAAGAGGACGAGGAGAGAAAAATCGGGTGGTCAAGGAAAAAAAAGTAAAAACGAAAGAAAACGCTTTAACCACGGTTAAATAGAGAAAGAGCGGGCAAAGAACGGGGATGAAGAGGGAGGAACAAAAAGAACATGCTCCGTTTTTGCTAATTTAGTAAAGATCCTTCCGACTTGTGGCTCGCGAGGCTATTAATTCGCTGCGCGGGAAACGCGATATGTCCTTTCCGTTAGTGCGCGACTTTCTCCTCCTTCTCGTGTCTCGCTTTTTCGAAAGGCTGATTAATTGCGTCACTATCCTTATAAATTGCTTTGTTTGCATTAGTACTGCCGTGCCGAACGAATGCCCCGCGCTAATGGATCGCTTCAGCCGGAATAATCATTGCAAAGCACTCACGCGCCGACAGAGACGGATCGCGGGGTTGGTGATATCATCTTGGATAAATGATTGTATTCGCATTAACGTGCATCGAAATGATTCACATTTTTCCTTCCGTAAGGACGACCTTGTGGCGTTAAGATAATGCGTTCGTATAAAAGATATAAAAAGATGTCGATCGAAAAATCTTGCTTATACGACGCTATCACGCGAAAGTATCCAGTTTTCTTGTTTTAACACAACTCCGTCTCTCCTACGTACTTTGAAATTTATAATATCGAAGAGTACGTGATTTTCGAAAGATTTTTGTGTTGTTTTCTCTTCGGAGAGAGACGGAATGTCACGTTTTACGAGCATCACGAGAGTCTCGTAGCATTTCGTGGTCGAATTTCAACTTCTTGTCCGTGCAGTCGGTTGCTCTACACACGAATCGCTTTATTTTCTACAACAATGGCCGCACAATAAACCGGTATATTACACACCCTGGTACATGTACCTCTGTGGATAAAGAAAAATGAAAAAAAGACAGAGAAAGAGAGAGGGAGAGGTACTCCCTCTCTCCCGCATTACATCGAGTTACGGGATACAATGGGGTCCCCAAAGCATAAAACTGGTCGAGAATGTTCGGGCGCTCTTTTGTACCGGCGATATAACTCAAGTGTCATGCCGTTATTTAACCATAGATACGACAGGTCTTTGCATTCTCCCTCGTGTGTCCGCCCGCCCGAGAGGAGAAATCCCGCTGCCCCGACTAACGTAAAAGTTAATTGAAAAACAGGAAATTAAATTTTCGCTATTCCCAGTCGTGCGAGCCGGTCGGAAGCTTCTCGGATAATAGAAGCCACGTACGCCGGTCTTTTGGCCGATGACCCTCTATAAATTATCGCATTGCTTAATCATTCGTCTGATCCAACGAATTCGGGGAGGAGGAGGAGGAGGGTGCTGCAAATTTATATTGCATCATTTTTGTATCGCGTGGGAGCAAGTAAAAGGGATCTCGCAACGAAATTCCATCCCATGCTAACGATTATTAACCGCATCTTTTTTGTCATCCATTTTTGGTTGAATTATTATGTATCCCTCTGCGCGGAATTTTTTTTGCGAAAACGTCAAAGTTTAATTTAATTCCTCGAGTTTGGCTCCGATAGTGTGAAAACTAAATCGATACGCAAACCGACGGCTTCATTTTGGAAATAAGAAAACTTTTCTCTCGTGCGCGCACACTCACCCCGGAACTAGTGTCAGATGGTGAATTTCATTATCGACAAGACCCGATATCTCTACATTAAAATCGTTTCAGCGCGGGACACATCGACATCCGGGAAAGGCTCGCAGCATCGATTAGATACGACTTGTAGGACACACTGTCAAATATCGCTAAAACTTTGCTTTACTTCGTCCGTCTGTGTATATGTGTGCGCAGGCATTACATTATTTCTTCTAACTTTCAGATTTTGCTAGATGTCTACATGATATTACTTTTCTTTTTCAGGTTGTTCCTGCGTTGTATATAGCAGCTCGGACAGGCCTCAAGGTGGCATTTTTACATCCCCCAATTTCCCCAAACGATATCCGCCAAACATTGATTGCCTTCTTTACACATTCATCGGTCACCCGGATGAGATCATCGCTTTAACATTTCATCAGTTTAATATTCGTCGTATTTGGCCTGAGTAAGTAATGTAAATTTGAAGAGCAAACATTTAAAATCTTCTACTCTATTTACATCTTATCTTTGATTAAAAGAAAGCCAATTACATTATGTTATATCAACGGAAATCAGCATATATTGTTTCCAGATTTTAATCTTTAACTGCAAATTCAAGATGAAAATTTATATGTAATAGATATTTATCTAGAGATGGCTATCTCAGTTATTATATTATATAAAATTTTAATAATATAGTTTAAAATCAAATAATCTATCTATAAATGAAACGAGAATTCAAGGATATTCAATATTTAATAAAAATTATAGATATGAAATGAATTATAGATATGAAATTATAGGTATGATATGAATTATAGATATTTAATAAAAATTAAAGATATGAAAATGATACACACATATATGTATAAAAAAATATTGTGATAAATTATATTGAATTCATATACTAAATTTATTAAATTTAAAATAAATTTGAAATCAAATGAATAAAAAGCAATGTATATTTTATTGTAATGTATATTGTAATGTATATTGCAATGTATATTTTTTTTAAACTTAAATTTATAAAAATAAATTATAAACAGAAATTCTATATTAATTCAAGCCAATAAAACAAAGAATGTATAAAATATAGATTTCTGATGAGTAAATAATACTAACTAAGTGAATCAAATTTATATCAGTTTTAATAAACTTCGTAACTTTCATTGCTTTAATTGCTGAAACATATGTGTGGATGTGATGGTTTAGAAAAAACCCATATCGATTTTGATACCTTTATTCCATGAAATATTGATTTCTGTTTATTGAATATAAATATAATTTGGATATAATATTGAATATAATATGGATTAAATTGAGAGATATTCGAAAAAAAATTCGAGTATTTTGAAATTCACGTGCGTATCTATCGAGACTATGCTCTTTAAAAGCAGTACGAAATATGAATATATCAGTTTTTAAACGTCCACTCTTGCTTTTTAATTACATATACCATAACTCAGTAATTAAAACGGCAATTTGTAGATTTTTCGCGCTCATAACTTGACATTATGAGCAATCACGCGTATGATATAACACATCGCTTTCATACATAGATTGTAATTAGACAGGTCGCGTTTCTCGCCAGTATTCGGAACTGGCAGGCAGTATGATGTCAACAGATAAATTATGCACGCGCAAAGTGATCTGTCCTGCTATCTAATTCGGGACTTTAGTTGTCTGACAAAGTCGCGGTTGTCTGTCGCCAATAGAATGCAGACGTATGTTAAATTATATCGATACGATCGCACGCGAATGTATATATTAAAAGTACGTATAAAGAAAGACAAAGATAGAAAGTTTCTAATATTGCCAGTGGATTGAATAATGTCGATTTTCACGTGTTGACAGTTATGTTAATTAAGAATCTATTTAGCAAACGCGATTTTCGAGATCACTTCTCTAAGCAAGATTGTCGCGAATATCTATCTTTATTCTTATGATCCGGTCAACGATCCACCGTCGATTTTTATTTTTGTAAACAATATGATTACGGACATTGCGATATTTCTTTCCTCGAAGAAATTGTGCTCGTTCACGAGGGAATTCCGAACGAGATATCTCGGTTCGCCAAAAATTCAGCGCCCGGATTCCTGAGACATAGTAATACGATTTTAAGAGCGTCCGAGGTCACACTGTGCAAAGACAGGCAGAAAGTAAAGTGCTCATAGCGGGAGTTTCTTTTAACGACCGTTCGCTTCATTAACTTCGTATCAAGCGTGATTAAATTCCTAATGCATCGGCCGTCGATTCGAATTCTTTCTTTTTTCCTCGCTCTTTAAATCCGTATGCGAATCTATTAGACGAGGACATTTTCTTTCAATAAAGTGTAAATGAGATCTCTCTCTCTCTTTGTATCTGAAGCATTATATTTATCTAAATCACTCGATTAATAAAAAATGGCGTTATTGAATTATCAAAGTTCGCGAAATAGAATTGAAGTCAACTCTTTCAATGTGTTGCGCAACGATACGAGCTTTACGAAAACACACTCAGAAATTCGTAGTGTAATGACTGTTTCGTGAAATTGAATTCGGGATGCGATTCGTCCCATGGTGAGGGCGGAAGAGGGAACGAGTGTCGTGACTTACGGCACGAGTCCCGGTAGTGCTTGAGTGGAGCTAGTAGCCAATTTGTAGCGCGTTACGTACTTCCGTTACCTGGGGGAAAGCGCGACGGTGGTAACGCAATCGTGTAAATCGTGTGCATCGCGTCAGAGTGGCCTGCGCAAAACTTGTAAACCACCATTTCATTGCCCGCGAGAGAAACTTAACGTGAATAAAGATTTAACGAGGATTCTTTCTCCGAGACGCGAATCCCGGGGTAAGTCACTCCGGGAAACTATATTCGATTCATCGCGCGATAGCAATTACATTCGTAAGAATCGTAAATTATACGTAGAAAATTAGATGGCGTACCCTTCGAAAACGGGCGCTAAATGCGCTTTAAATCTAGCTTTACTTTAATAATCTATGTACATTCGTCGGGGATTTCGCCCGCGCTTTTCGTGGAATTTACGTTGCGCCTGAATGCAGTGTTTTAGGATCCGAAACGAGCGTAAGTCCGCTGCAGCGAGACGTTTACTTCACCTGTACCGCAATTTATTGTAGGTAGGAATTTAAAGTAGAGAAGGTCTCTTCTCTCTTGACAAAAGGCTGCGGCTCCCGGACGTGTAAGATATATTTTAAAAACATATTAAACGAAGATGCATGCTTCTATCAGAGAGTACTATGACGCTATATTTCATATATGTATAATTTCTTCTTTTTTCAATAATAAATATGACAAAGAAATATTATCTCATTACCATATGTTCGCAAATTGAATTGCATTGCACATCAGCAATGCAATTTTCCGCACGCATCTCCACGCTTCAGACGAAAGATACTTACTTTGATTAAAGAAAAGTTTTATGCCACGAACACGAGCAATCTTGCCACAAGCTCGTGCGTTTGCATTCGTCGACGTCAAGTCTCACGATAGCAAAGGGTACCCTCTTGCACCTCATGGTCGCATCGCATGCAACGGCACGCCTGATTGCACGACGTTGTTCCCTCGACACTCGGTCGCAGTGACCTGCCAGCCCGATTGCAGCAACCGTAACGCGCGACGTGGGACGCACGAGACACAATACACAAGCTCCGCGACACCGGTTGCGTTGTACAGTTTGCGCTGCGCCAACCCCTTTCGCGTTATCCCCCTTTGCCACCTCGTATCCCGTATCCCGGGTCATCGCGCGGACACCTGGAGAGACCCGCGAGAATTCGACGAGGACCAACTCGCGCCGGACCCGAATCGCGCGCACCGAAATTTCCGTTCGAGGGATCGTACGACGGTTGAAGTTCGCCGCTTGGTTTGCGAGGTAACTTGGCGTTGGGTTAGCGAAGTCATGCGGGAACAGGAAGGACGAGAGCGGAAGGGCGAGACGGGTCGCGGGAGTTGGAGGATGGAGGAAGTTCTGGTCGACGGGGTGGGTGGTAGATGCTCCTCCGAGGTAGATCTTCCGAGGGTACGTCTACCACGTTCGCGGTCGGAGGGATGCAGATTTTATTTTCGCTGCGCCGCGCGCGTACTCGGTTTCCCGTTCTTACGCGCGGAGAATATGAATCTCCCCTTTTGTGAACTGAAAGCACGGTTGCACTTTCCGCTTGCTAAATCCGTTACCCACATCTGCGGGGAATATCGTAATATCGCGCCGACGATTCCCGTCGATTCGCAAATAGATCGCAGCGCGGAATGACACGACGAGAGGCACTTTAAGCGGGAAAAATTCGCGTATGATCGATCTCCGCACGTCGTCGGCGGGGTAAGAATCCCCCGGTAACGCGGATCGTCTCTCAACCGAGCTGTCAAGCGATCCGTGAATCCTCGCCCCTCCCCCCCCGCGTCATCCTTTCGACGATCGCCGTTCTTGGCCTACGAGCGCGTTTATGTATGCGGATAGGCGGAAATTTGTGCTATCGCGCATTATGCATCGAACTGCGATGTCGGCCGGCGGGCAACTTCCGACAGGCAAGACGAACCGCGCTGGAAATGCAAACAACAGTCCGGCAACGAAGCTTCGCGAAACCGTTTGCAACAAATCGCTCGAGCGATCATTTCGCTGGTTACATTACCATCGTCAGTTACAGCACGTCGGAAATTTCGGCGGTTCGGTTTTCGGTCGCCCGCCTGCTCCCGTCGAACGTTATCTCTTCGGAGAGATCGATCGGTCAGTTGCTAATTCAGGACACCTCGCGCACCTCCGGATCGCACGTTGATTTGTTCCGCGCAGAAGACTTGTCATCTCGGGATTAATTTTTTTTCGCCGCCGCAGTTGTCACTCGTCTCGTTCTCCCGCGAATAACGTTTCTCGTTTGAAAGTTTCATTTTTTTGCTCTAGTATATTTGAGTAGTTAATTGAAAAATCCTCCGAAGAAAGGAACGAAAAGCTTCCTGCCAAAGTCGGGCGTCCCACCGGTTATTCCTGTTAAATCCCATTGAGACTTGTTGGCGAACGTAATGGAAAAAGAATCTCGCTCGCACTTTTTCCACGAGGTCGCAGATCCGGACCGAACGAAAGTCTGTGTACGCCGCGCGCGGATTAATATTTTCGCAAAAGCGGAAGTGGGTTGAACCGCGCCGATTTATGCCGAGCACGCGCGCGCGCGTTCCCCGGGTTCCTCGTTCTTTGAGGGAGATTCTATTTACAAATCCTCCCACCGTCGACGGTCATAAATCGTTTCTACTACTTCTAAGGTCGCGCGTCCAAGACCCGTGCACCGCGAGTCCAATATTAAGCCGCCTATGGAGATGGGTCCTATTAATATGGCGCGCTCGCGCTCGAGCCGCATGGCGATCGTTTACAGTGTGCCGCGTGTGTCCTAAAGCTTAGAAAATCCCTCGGAGAAGAGAGGAAACTTTGGCTTTATATCCAGGGGCGCCGATAGTAAGCCGCTTCCCCTTACGAGTTATATACGAGCA